GTTACTTCGTGTGAATCCATTACACTTAATGGCAGAGATTTATTTTGAAATTGCGAAGTGCCAGAAATCCGGTATTTGAATAAATTTTATTCGCAAACTCTAGTACAGGACTAGTTTCTTCTTATGTTAGGTTATATTTTTATTCCCGAGGACTCTTCAATGTTAAAAGATAAACTGGAGTCAAGGCTGTTTTATACCTTTTTAAACGGTTTACCGACCCGTACGGTATTTATTTATTTGTTTGTTTATTTGGGTCAAAATTAGAAATTGAAATTTAAGTACCTTCCTGTTGTCAGATTGATCTGAAATTTGGTACACACCTTTAGTTCCGATGACAATACAATATAGTAATATCAATAACATTGTAAATCTAAGATGGCCGCCGGTACAAAATGGCGGATTTCATATTTTTCCACAACCCCCTCAATATGGGTATACTTGTATTCATTTAAAACTTCCCAATATGGCGGACTTCAGTATGGGAGGCTTAAAAAACGAAAATCTCTAAACTAGAATCGACTGTACTTCAAATCGTTCGAATTGATAATCTGTGGTAAATCCAATTGAACTTGGCTGACATTGACGTTTACGGTTCCTTTTTCTAAATATTTTCATTATTTTTCGAGTTTTTATTCACAAATTCTACTTGATTTTGTTCTTTTATTTAACCTGCAACCTGCAGTACTAATTATATAGTTATAAATAATCTTTTCACTGATCAAGAAACGACGAATAGGCTGGAATATAAAATATAAGAAACTTAAAACGTATTAGAAAACATTGACTCGTTCACAAATTCGTGAAAATAAATTAGTCCAGATGTTTGTAAAAAAGGTCTCTAATTATTTTGAGAAGTTTCCTCGTATCAGTAATTTTCAGGTTTGTAATATGTACTAAATGATAATAAATAGATTAAAACTTATATTTCAGGAAACAGCGCGGGCATTACAGATTGTTGTAAATCAGTTTTAAAATATAAAGAAGGTTTAAAACGGATTTAAAAGTTTTATTTTTCATTAAAAAAAAATTACCAATTTTCGTAACTAGGTCGGCCATATTGAGGAACTTTTAAAAGAATAGTACTATATCAAATGAAAGGGCTACACTAGTAGAATACAGTGATTATGACAAAATTTAAAATCCAAGATGGACGTCGTTACAAAATGGCGGATTAGGTGAGGGCATGAGTAGTCGTGTCCAGAACAGTTGTGTCCAAGATTGTGTGACGTTAGAAGGACAGATAAAAAAAAATAGGTGTGATTAGATGTACCTACGTAGTTAGCGGTAGCTTTACCACCCAAGTTAAGGTAATAGGTTAAAACGTGCTGAGGACTGTATGGCATTAGGGTGGCTAAAAATGTAATGTCGCAAGCGTTTCCCCTCAAGATTGGGCGCCTCTTGTTGTATATTATAGCTTTGCCCCTCTACTGGACCTCTGGGGTCGACCGTTAAAATGTCCATTACTCGTGGGAACAACATGGAAACAATAAATAAAAACACAAACAAAAATAAAAACGAAACTGCTACACAACGAAAAAGAAGGCTCGAAAAGGCGAAAGAAAAGTATAGAACGAAACGTGCAAAAGAAAGTGAAAATGAAACCTATAGTCGACTACAGAAACGAAGAGAACGGTTAGCAACAGAAACACCTGAGCAACATGATGCCAGGTTAATAGCACAACGTGAGAGACAAAGGCAGCTGGTAGAGTCAGAAACACCTGAACGTCATGAGTCTAGCATCACAACGTGATAGACAGTGAGGCTAGCATCACAACGTGATAGACAGAGAGAGTTGTTAGCGGCAGAAACACCTGAGCGTCATGAGTCTAGGCTGGTATCACAACGAGAGAGACAAAGAGAGTTGTTAGCGTCAGAAACACCTGAGCGTCATGAGTCTAGGCTAGCATCAGAACGCGACAGACAGAGAGTTTATTTTTAATAAAATCGATAAAATATTCCTTTAATAAAGTTACTAATAGTTATTTTTTATACAAGACGATAATGCAATTTTATCGTCGTGTATAAAACTAATTTCTTTTTTCATGGCGTGTTACGTTTTAAAAAATATTCAGAAATTATTATTTCAAGGAATTTATTACGAGTAGAAATAAAAAATCGGTAAAAAAACTTTTAAGTTAAACGGTTTTATCTTATGTACACTGAAAACTAGAAAATAATAATAACAATTAGGTATTTTGAACTTCTAGTTTAGAAATATTTTAGTACTAGGCAGAATAGCTTTTAGGCATATTAGTCTAAAATAAAAACGTGGGGCCCCTCTGAAATCCTACCTATGGCAAAGCATATCTTTATACTTTGGTAGATCATGAGCTCGGCGTTCGCTGGTGAAGCCGCTACGGCTGGTTATTGATTGTCAAAATCTCCAGTTACGATTATAGTAAGTCGATGCAATCCACATTAGTATAGAAGAAAGTATTACAGCAATAGTTAATGTGCCCCACGTTTTTATTTTAGTCTAATATGCCTAAAAGCTATTCTGCCTAGTACTAAAATATTTCTGAACTAGAAGTTCAAAATACCTAATTGTTATTATTATTTTCTAGTTTTCAGTGCACATAAGATAAAACCGTTTAACTTAAAAGTTTTTTTACCGATTTTTTATTTGAAAACAGCTGAATGTTGATCAAGCTAACTTCCGCCTTTCCTAATTTATCTTCAGTTCATTCCAAATTTCTACCGACATTTTGTTATGTATAAGTTTTGTTATGTAATTTGCACTTTGAACATTAGATGATACTAATTTTATTCTCGACTTAAGAGAGTCATGACTATTTCCAAAAAAATCCCTTTGATCTAAGCGGCCGATTTTTTTGCGGAAATAGGGGCATCGGCAAAGTTTACAGAATAAAATAGGTCGGTGACCGATGTGGAAAAACGACACGTGCCGTAGAAATATTAATATTGTCAATATCGGGCAGAGTTACAAAGATTTAGCCATTTAAGGCGGGGGACCACTGCGAGCGAAACTAAACTAAGCCAAGCGAAGATAAGATTTGTAAAAATCAGCTCCCATGCTTTTTAATGCATCAGCGGCCACTTGAGCGAAACTAAACGAAAATATGTGAACGAAGATTGAACTCGTAGTTTAGTTTCGCTCCTTTTAGTTCGTGACAGGTTCCAGCGAAGTTTTCGCAGCGATTAATTCTCTGATAGAGACACAATACGAAAACGCAGCTAACTTAGTTTAGTTTCGCTCGCAGTGGCCGCCTACCTTTGGATAGAAGTTTAAATAGAAAAATGATTAAAATAAAAAAAATCCCATTTAAATGAAAAAAATCTTATAAAAGTCAAAAAATTGTTTTTTAAGAAATCATGATTTTTTTTGCACCCTGACAACCTTGCAACACAATTAGCAAATACGTCTGGATACGTCTATTACGAGGGTTGTCTTTTATATTTTGCTCATAGAGGTCGAAAAAAAAAACAGTAGATAACTTTTAAACACCCTATTGTTTTTAGAAGTATTCTCCACGAAAAGAAATGTAGATATTTTTGTATCCGTTGGAAACAATTCTGAAAGCAGTTATTCCACTCGCTTGTTAGTACCTTTAAAACTGCGTTTTTGATGAAAACTAACTTTTTTATCTCGTAGATTATTGGGATCTCAGAAACTAGTAGAGTTGCCAGGTCATAATGGCATCATAAAGTTTTAAAATTCTAAATACTTCCGAAGAATACATATATAAAAAATCGAAATATTTGCGATTATAATTAATATGTACCATATAATAAAATAAATTTTATATTGTCATTGTTATGTTTTCTTTTAATTTGGTTTAAGTTTTTATTTTATTAAATATTTTAGGAAATTCCCCAGAAAGTCCTGTTTATGGTGCCACTTTGTAGCTTTTCAGTTTCACCTATAATTATCTAACTGTTTAATAGAATGAGTCATACGGTCATTGTTTCAATTAATTAGATAGTGTGTGTGTGTTCTTGCAATCGAGTAATATTCTCTAAAACTACACTAATTATGTACTTAACATGTGTATATCAAATAAGTTCCTTTTTTACTTGCTACACAGTTTTTTTATTATTACACTTCTTATGTGTATGAGTCATAATGAATTATAATCCATAATTAATATACCGAGTGCATCTTAAAAGTGGCTCACCCCTATAACTCTTATTTTTTTAGATAAAAAAATTATAGAGATTTGGTATGTCAACTTTTGATTTTTAAATGACATGAATATTTCTACTTCGATAGAAAATGACATGCTGAATAGAATGACATATGAATAGAATATCATATATATCAACTTTTGACATTTTCGCATATGGTTTATTTGAAATTGTAACATGCGGTTCATAACGACAATTTGACTCGAAATACCAAGTGTGCGGTACTAAATCATTCATAAAAAATGCTTTTTCCAAATATGCTAATGAGCCACCCTTGTTCCATTTGAAAAATTGAGATATTAAAAATACGATTTGGGCATCTTTTACCTGGCCAGGACAAGACACGAAAAACAGAAGATCAAAACTATTTTTCCAAGGCTCGTTGATTAAAAATTAGTGTTTTTAACACATTTTTGTCAAAACAAAAATGTCAGAAGTTAACATATGATATGTCATTTTATTCAGAGTCTCACTTTCTATCGAATAAATTAACAGAAAGTAATGAAGCAGGAAAAAACAAGTGAATACGCCAATCAGTCCTAATTTATGTCATATACTAACATACCAAATTTCGTTTTTTATCTGAAAAAATAAAAAATTCTAGCGTTGAGCCACGTTCGAAACGCACCCGATATTACGTGATTATTTAAGAAAAATATTTTTTTTGCAAATCCTTTTATAGTATTTCCGAAGCCTATTGGAAATACTGAGACTCAGTTCGTTTGTCCAGATGATTACAGTACGAAATGAAGAGTCCCAACCTAGGCTGTTTCAATTGACTTCGGAAAAACTATATCTTATATGTCTTAAAATCAATATTATTCTTGTAAATACATAATTATTTCATTTTGCAGGTTTTTCCACTACGCCTCCTTCAATGATCCTTCCAAAATGTCCCCGAGAAGTTGACGATGACGTGTTCATGGTAATATATTTTGTCTTTTATTTTATATGTATATATTGTACTTAACATAGTTCTATTTTCTAAGACATTGGACTTGCCTCGCGATCCCAAAGACTCCAGAAGCAGCACGGACTCGAATAGTAGCGGTAAAAGTGGTGCTCCTGAACACCTGCATAGGATAACTTACGTTGGCAAGGACAAACCTGCCGAACCACCTAAACAGCCCACGTATGATCCACAAAAAGGTATATAATGTAATCGTATCGGCCTGATTATACTAAATCTACTATAAGTAATTCTCCTGTAAGTATACCGACCTGGTCATTTTAGAAGTGTGGTCTGGATTTTAACGTGTAAGACAGTGATGTAGGCAGCTTAATGACGAATCACATTTATTAAAGAGAGAAATATTGTCGCGACCTAGCTTGGGGGTTGTTCGCTAGGGTCGCTATACCAGGTTCTCTCTTTTAATCAAACAACCATTAGAAAGATATGCATTTATTAAATATACAACTACATACATAACAAATAAGTATAGATAACAATTTGAGGAAATGCCTAGACTTAAGGATTCAAGACTCAAAGAGGTACTTACAACAGCATCTTGTCTGACTGGCTAACTTCTGTCTTCTACTGATTCACTCGCAATCAACCGACTGACTAACTTCGACCAACTGACTACTGAACTTCGACTAACTGACTAACCAGCTAACCGACTAACCCCCACTAACTGACTAACCAACTAACCCCCTTAACTGTCTTCAGCATACCCTTTTATATTTGTCCGCTCGTCCCAATCATCGGCGGGTGCGTCATAAACAGTTTTCTTCGTATATTTCCATCACCGATGTTTAGTACGAGTTTGCCTTGAAACATCACGCTACATCGACCTGACTTTAATTGTTTTAATTAATAATGTTTACTATAAGAACATGTCTAGGTCGATATATACGTGAACGATTCCCTTGGGTCTACATTACTAGAATTATATGATTTTTCTCAATTTGATGTAAACCCAAGTTGGCCTATATTTAAGTCTTGGCAATATGTTGGGTTGGTACATTTCTTCTACGCGGTATTGCCGGATTATGCATCAAAATTTCAAACCGCAGAAGTAGGCGTTTCCGAGAAATGTTCCATCTAGGGTTGAAACTTTATTTTTCACAATTAGTTACTCATTTTACTACAGCTGTAATGGATTATATTTAGCTTAAATATATTATCTTCATTTCAGTAGTATACTTGAAAGTTTTTAAAATAATTTATTCTCTTCTACACACAATTTCTTACAAAGGTAAAAACCGACAACACTGTATGCCGGTTTTTATTTTGTCTCTCTGTCTGTCAACCGGTCATTTATATTATTTTCTGTCTTAAGCTTGATTTTCATGCGCCCGTTATCCGTTGATACGATCACAGATTATAAACTTATCGTCAAAGGCATTGTTTTTCGTGGTTCCGATTTTCGGAGTCGCGCACTAGTTAGGATACTAGTTTGCGCACATAGCACGCCCACTTTTGGCCTCTAAAATTATGCACAGCGGCTGACCGGCCCAGTTATTACGCTGTTTAAACGCTAGTTTATTTTTGGTTTGGTTTTTTTTTAATTTTACTCGTTTGCTCATCGTCATAAAAAATCAATTTTTGTGCCACGAATTAGGGACAAGATTTTTATCTGTGTACAAATAGTATACCTAATCTGTGATACGATAGTCCGACGGCGCGGCGCTCTAATTGGTCATAGCGTTTTCGCGCCACTTTTCATCCGTAAATTGTTTACTCCAGCCCGTCAACAACAACAAAGATCGTACGACAACGGATGTTTTGACACTTTTGTCGCGCGTCGGGAAAACGATAATTTTAAGAAAGCTTGTTCTTAAGTACATATCTTTTGCTATGCTCTCTGTGCTGTCCTGACCAAAGTGTGGGCCGTCTGGCTGCCGGTAGACTACTGCGGTTCATTACAGAGCATCACTTCTGTACAGGGTATCCCATTTTCGTGTGTTTTACGGGATTTCTTGTTTAAGAGTAGAGATACATACTTTTTTATGAAACTAAATATGCTACACACAGGTTTGTCCTAGCCTCCTAAATTCCTGAAATACAGGGCCAATTTGTGATGCGCAGTAGTGAACAGATGTTGAATACAGATATGATGCGCAGTAGTGAACGCAACGTCTACTGACAACCAGACGGTCTGCACGTTGTTCAGGAGACCAGGTTAGCATAGCAAAAGATATATTAAAGAACCAGCTTTCTTAAAATTCTCTCTCGAAAACGTTGCTAGCTCTTAGACTATAAGTAAAATATGGAAATATATGGAAATTATCGTTCGAGCACTACAGCCACTTTTCCTACCAAACGTGGTTCTGTATTGGCTGTATGCAAGGAAATATACCACGTGACCCGATTATATAATACTTGGTAGGTTACTTTGCTGTCCTTTTTTCAGAAAAGTCTTTACTAGTCTTATAGGAATTTTACTTATATGACTCAATCACTGGGGTGTATTTTAACGCCTAAAGGCATATTCACACAGTCAGTCAGATCTCGTATCGATCTCCAACAATTCTATTGGCTATAAATTTTCGAAAAACGTTAGCCAATAGAATTGCTGGATATCGATACACCGATCCGCCGTTCTGTTTTTTTCTACGATGGTGTGGATGCACCCTCAGTTACGATAAAGAGAATATAGAATAAAGACATAGAAGCCCCATATAGGCATGGAAGCATTGTGCAAAACACATAATGCAAAACAAAAGGTATTAACAGTGATTAAATTAATGATATATACAAATATCTAAAACTAAATTTTAACTGTTAACTAACACTATACTAATATTTAAAAACTAGAGAAAAATGATATGTGATATATTATGTGGCTCTGCTGCTTCGAGATCCTTATCACCGAGTCTGCAGCAAAGATTTCCTTACAGCATACACAGATTCAGGAAGAGGCTTTTTCAGGTGATAGTGATAGATGACAGCAGTTTCTTTGTGTTTTTAGAAGCTTTGTGTTTTTAGCCTGGCTATGATGTCTGTTTGTGTGCTTCTGTCTGTTTTTCTAGTGGTCGGTCTGCTTCTTCTTGAGATTTATTGCACTATGGGCTATACATTTGGGTTCAGATTTAAATCGTATAATATCAAGAACTACAGTAGTCAGTAGTCATATATAACTCGTCGTCTGTAAAATTACTTATTTCCGCAATTTTTTCATAGAAAACTACACATGTGTAGTTGAGGAACTAACTCAATCGGAGGACAGTTCTTACCGAATATTATATGAATAGCCGTCGCAAAATTTGACTGAATGAGACTGAGAGGTTACGGCAAAGGAACTGACACGTGACTGACGTGTGAATGGCCTTTAAAGTTACACACGGACCAGCTTACATTAATATATGCATTAGACGCTTACGGTGTTTTCTTAAAACAGCAGGTGCTGAGTATGTTCAACTGCAGCCGCGACACGAGTATTTCTACGTGGAAAACCCCCTAAGTCAGCAGCCTCCACTGCCTCCCACGTGGGAATCCCCTACCGCGTTGAAGAAAGCCTCTCCACCTTTACCACCTCAACCGCTGGCGGAAGTGTTCAAGCCTGTGGTGAAAAGGCCGCAGCACTTTGTATGTCGACATTGTAACGAGGTGAGAAAGTACATCCTGGTGTTTTTTTGTTATAGTCTTTACAAACCTGTTTTAAACTAACATATTATTCAAATCTATAGTATGTCCAACGACAAAATAATGGATATTAATAGATGTCTATTAGTCATTTTAATTTTAAAGTATGTTTATTTAATTTACAAAGAAATAAGTTGGTACAATTGGCACACATACATCACAACGCACAGCAGGAAATTAATACATTAAAAATTTGAGTGATAAGTGATTACTTCAAAATATTGTAAAAAAAATACTGTATAAAACTGAAAAAATATAATTGAGTAATTTTATTTAAAAAAATACGGTATGTGTTAATCCAAAACAAACAAGGGTGTATTTTAAACAAAACAACACATACCAAAATAAATATAAAAAAGAACTATTTCTTACTTTCAAGCTTCAAGAAACTTCCTGCATTTATTCTCTTATTTTCAATATAACTTATGTACAAATAAAAAAAAATAATATTGCACAGGAATAAATAAAAACAAAATATTTTATTAATAATAACACTTACTGAATTTTATACCTTAAAAGTTGATTAATTATTAATTTTAATCTTAATTTTTTTAAACCAGTACCTTTTGACATTATCTGTCTGCAGTACTAAAATCTATTATTTCGCTATCGTGTGTTGTCGTGATTTTACAGTTACTCTAGTTTTTAGTACCATATACGAGATGGTATACAAACGTTATTGGTGTATAAAACTCTCTGTTTGGGCACAGAATATTAATTATAAACTGTGCTCTGGGTCTACAATTAATTTTCCATAGATTTTTCCTCCACTTAACTTTTATACACAATACACACAACTAATAACACGGAACCAAAATAATTCGCAAATATAGGTATTTGATATAATTTCACGCATATTATAACCTTATGCAAGAGTTTGACAAGCCTTAAAAATCTTAAATCGAGTTCATCCGCATTTGCGTCAGTGCATCCTTCATCGAGGTTCATGGTTCATTGTTGTGTCACTCGAATTATATTGAAATATGATCTGTCATTTTTGAAATAAACCAATAAAACTGGTTAAAAACAGCAAGAGACGACGCATGACTGATTTTTACATAAACCAATCCAAAGTTAACTTAAAAAATATTAGAAACTTTTTTTAGTGAAATAAATAGATTGTATGAACGTCATCTGCTTTTTTTCTGTCATCGTCTGATATAAGATGCGCTGAATAAAGAAAGAAGAGCAAGTATTTTTCCAATCGATTTTTTTTCCGATTAAATGGTTACTTAATAAATCTCATTTTTCTCTGTCCTGCTTAAATAGGGATAGTCATAGCGACTTATTTCTAGACACGTAAATATGGACCCAAAACTCTTTATTGCCAGCAGTGTATAATAGTATACTGGGGAATCCCGGACTCTGCTAAATGTCTACCATACTGGCAACTCTTACATTTGGGTTGGTATTTACATGCGTGGAGGTAAATCGCATAGGGATCTTATGGTGGGTTCATACAGCCAAATAAAATAAAATAAGAATAAAATAAAATAAGAAATAAGGAATTCTTATTTGTGTGCGTTCATACAGTCAAATAAAATAAAATAAGAAATATATATTTGCTCATGCGCAGTACGATGAGGCTGGATAAAAGTTAACTTTTACGATTGTTTATAGTAATTTTACCATTTATAGTATATTTATTTATTCGTTGCCTACTATATTATACATTTTACTTATGTGAAATTATAAAATAAATTAAATCCAAACTGAAAATATTTGTAGGTTAGAATTAAGCATGCGCAAAGCCGTTTTCACATAAAATAAAACAAGAAGTTAAAAGATAAAGACTTCTTATTTTATTTGTTATTTTATTTGGCTGTATGAACGCATGTACGGTATCCCGTATAACCAACTTTCTTATTTTATTTTATTTTATTCTTATTTTATTTTATTTGGCTGTATGAACCCACCATTATTGAGTCGAAGTGAGAGAAATGCGACGGTGTGCTGTTGCAGCGTTGCCACATTTCTCCGGAACTTTCCCTATCAAGTAAAGTAAAATCACGATCGCAAACCGCTTATTTCTAAAAGACTTTTTTCGAATAATAAATAACTAGATAAAATTATTAGATATGTTTCTGAGCATTTGAATTGGGATGATAAGGATATTCTAAGACATTCTCTAAAGACATTCTTGTTTGTGTTCATACATGCTCTTATTAGGGAACGCTCTCGCACAATGATTGTAAACGTTCGCGAACATTTCCTTGTCACAAATGAGAACGTTCCCTCCATTACAACACTAAATACTTCACAGAATATAATAATTATATTAAAAATTGCTTTTTCTTCTTTCCAGCCGTTCACGAGAGACCAAAACAAGCGCGGCTCGTGCAAGTACGCCCCCGACGCGGTCCGCTCCGTCGTCCACTGGCTCTCCTGTCTTCCGCTCATCAACTGCTCCATGTACCACTGCGCCGCCGACTCGGAGGGCGACTTCCAAACGGACCCGTGCAGGTGCCGGGGCGAGGACGAGCCGCGGGACGCGTGCGCGCGCCGCTGGGTCGGCCTCGCCTTCTTCTCCATGGTCGTTCCCTGTATCTGGCTGTACCCGCCGCTGCGCCTGTGCCACGCGTGCGGCGTGCGGTGCGGCGTGTGGGGCGGCCGGCACAAAGCGAGCAGCGAGGCCGCATGACCGTGGGAGAGCGAACTCAGTACGGAATTCAGTTTCGTTTAAGATTTGGGGTGGATGAATGGTGAGATTGAAGAGGAGGAGGAAATAGGTAGGGTTACGGTAGGAAGAGGTTTTGATGTGTGCTGGTAGTAGTGAAAAAAGGAAGTTTGCTGATGAGTTAAAAATAATTTGCTGTAGAAACAAATTCTACTGTAGGGCATGTAGAATTATGTTTACGGGGTTAAACGTTGACATTGCAAAATAAACTAATCTTTCCATGTATTTATCATTCACGCCGGTTCGAGGCCAGATCGGATATCTGAGTAGTCTGTGAGTAAGAGTCGATTTACACACTCGCCAAGTCGGTAAGCCATTGTCAATGATATGGCCGAGGACCACGGTTCAGATTCTGCGTAAACAAAGTAGGCTCCGTCGAGATTAGACTTAACAGCCAAAAGGAGACGTTAACTGAAACTACATTACTTTTTTGAAGTGAAACTTCTTTACGCGCGCTGGGAGTAAAAATTCGAGGCCGTGACACACGAGGTAGCGCACAGAGGTTATTCTTCTAGAATTAGGTGGTAATAAATATATATTCAAAAAATACATGTTTTAGAAAGTTGAAACATATATTTTTTAAACGATATTCGGAAAGTGAAGTAGATTATATAAGTAAAATAAATTAGTTGTATTTTATACAGGGTGTTTGTTTAAATAAGTCCCTAATATAGTGGATGTTCCTAAACGATATGCTAGTATTTAGTAGATGCAGATTCTTAGACCCATTTTAAGAAAAAACACTTCATATGAATCTATGTCTCAAACGTCATAACTTTTAAGATACTGGGTGGTAAAGTTTTCCGAAAAGAATATAAAAATTAAAATAAAAAATTATATTTTAGGTCGTCCTCGCATTTTACCACATAGACTGTGTTGAAAACATATGTCAAGACATGTGTATTTTGCTCTTCAAAGGGACTGCCTTCATACCAAATATATTTGGTATAGATAAATAAAAAAATTGTCTCTAAAAAAATCATTTTTGAAGTTCTTGCCACTTCTTGGCAGCCAATTTTAGAATGACTCTTTAGATAAAATGATTAAGCTTGATTTTCATGCATCCATTGTCCGATACGATGATACGATATTAATTTTATTGGTTGAATTTAAAGACTTCGATTGGTTGAAAACGGTTAACCAATATCCGTTAATAACGGTTAACTATCCGTTGTCCGACGACACGATGATACGATATTAATTTTATTGGTTGAATTTAAAGACTTCGATTGGTTGAAAACGGTTAACCAATATCCGTTAATAACGGTTAACTATCCGTTGTCCGACGATACGATGATACGATATTAATTTTATTGGTTGAATTTAAAGACTTCGATTGGTTGGAAACGGTTAACTACTAGAAGCATTTAAATTCATCCAATAAAATTAATATCGTATCGTCGGACAACGGATGCATGAAAATCAAGCTTTACTCATAATAAAAACGTCTTTCGAAAATAAATATGAATAAATCCTGTATTTGGCAAGTTACAAAATCCAGTCTTACGAAAGACAAATAATGTTTTACAAAACATTTAAAAGAAATCCTTTTTTCTATTTTACACGGGACGTAAATATATTATTATGAACTTACCCCAAAATACTTAAAAACACCAACTTAGTTTAAAAACTCGCTGCCTAATTATGCAAATTAAAACTTTAAAAATTCAAAGATAAGCGTCACAAAACCAATAAAGTAATCAATCTAAGGAAAAATCAACTTTGACGTTGCGCTTAAGCAACCTATGTTGAGATAAAAAAATATTGTTGTTTAATCATGTCTCTGATTTGTTAACAATTAAATACAACATCAATCGTAGGTTTTTTGATACCTTATTTTTCGATTTAATAATTCCTAAAAAAATAAAATTACCTTTGTATAGCGTCACGAAAAGTGGTTAACTATCGAAAAAGTGGTACTGGTGCTCTGACTGCCAGCATGTGTACGAGAACAGGCGTTGCAGGTTAAGCGCGGGTACTCATTAATCGAGCAAAGTCGCCTGGCTGTCTAATGAATAAGCTGTGGCGTTATGATGTACAAAACTGCCCGCTTTGAATCTGAAAAATAAATCAGCAATTTTTAGTCAAGAACCGTTAAAAGGATATTGAAATGTTTAAGACGATGTCACAACAATTTCACACTATCTAAGCGCACATCAAAAACTCCTCAACGCAACCCTAAATCACTTAGACCAAAGTAAGCTTTCTGTCGAAAAATCTGACTGCCGACGTAGCTTGTACACGAACAGTTTGTTAGTTTCCTACCAAAAAAATGAATCGAAAGGAAACAATTATTTAATTTCTATTTTTATATGTTTTTGTTTATAGTTAATTTAAGATTTATATCACTAATCGATAATGCAAAAATATTATCTCAATTGCTGCCACGCGTTATATTTTTCACTAAAAAACGTAAGCAATATGGTTTTAAATCGTTTAGATTTTATCGGAACTGATTTCTATGAGTATTTTTTCTGGGTTTTTACTGTTTTTAGTAATGTATGTGCACAGAATTAATTTATATATGGTAATCGCAAAACAATTTCCGATGCACGTGATCAACTTTGAGTGACCGGCGATGGCGACAGCGCTGCCAGATTGTGATGGATTTATGAGATGAATCTTAATTTAAAAGTGACAAACAATATTATTTAGATGATAATATTTATTATATCATTTTTTAAAGATTTTTATGTTTTATTTTTAATTTAATAACTAATATATTGGTAATTAATTGATTTATTTGTTTTATACCTTATTTTACTTATTACATATTGGCAAAAACTAGTCCATTATGAAGATTATTTTAAGCATTATTATGGGTTATTTATTTATTGATGTACATCTTACAAGCGCTTACAACGCCATAAGTGGTAATAACAAGTAAAAGGGTGCTATTAATGCACAAACTAATAATCACAGAATTTGATAAAAACTAACGTAAAAATAACTTTGAAAGTGGTGTAATGTGCTTATCAAACTTACTTCTCTGGCTGCAGTCAAAGGTAATAAAGGACTTTTATTGTCACGTTCTCGTTCAAAATAGTTTATCAGGGAAGCTACAAGCTCTTTCCTTCGACTGTTTAAATGCTTCGGCATATTTTCAACACATAATTTCAAGAAATGCAATACAAAAACTCGAAAATTTAGTTTTTAAAAGAACTGTTTGTGCTTTTAAAGTACAGTTTTTAAAAAAGACTATGAAAATAGGCAAAAGAACGAGAATTACTCACAAAGATTCAAGAACAACACGATATTATACAAAATAATGACTGACATTAGGGTAATTGTCAAATAACAAACGACAACCTTGCTGAAAACGGCACAATGTGACCAACCTAGCGATAATAAAATTCGGTTTAAATTAATTTTTGCAGCTTTAATCCAGATAAAATATCTATTACAATTATTTGCTCTATAAAGTCAAATGAAGAGCTGCTTGGTATCTTAAATTATACAACAAATTTAAACCTTTTTGGCCAAAATTTCATTTAGTCAGGAGTGTCAAGTCGATATGATTGATGACGTGCATCGGAAAATGTTTTGCGATTACAATAGTAATATTTTTTAATTAATAAGTGAGATCAACAATATCCAGTGACAAATATATTTACGACACATTTTGACATTTATAGTTGTTTAGTTTTTAACTGTTTTCTCACTGTTTTTACAGCTATACTTATACAATATGATCGAAAAAAAAAACGGCGTCAGTGATGGCTATGAAATGAAGGTCGTTGTCGTTTTATAGATAAAAAATTATATGGGGAATGTCATTGATGTTCATTTCCAAACCAACCGGACGCCGTTTTTTTTTCGATCATACGATATTTACTTGTATGGTATTTGAATTCCAGAGCTGTCTTGATTATTAAACTTTGCCTTTGAGCGAGACATACCATGTGACCGAATAAAAACGACGTAATAGTAGGCATAGATATCTTAGTTCGAAATTAACTATTTCTATCTCTTTGAGAGTAGCAGCTGATCGTGAGTTATGCAAATAAAACCATTATTAGATAAAAAAATATATACAAAAGAAATATAAATAACACAAAATAGTACCATATGATAGAAAAACAAAGAATAGAACATGCTATTTTTTTTCAAACGCCACAAATAATTGTTTAAACAATTTTAAACTTTCCAAGTAATATAAAACGATTTAACAGTCATACCTTATATGTAATTATTTTTTTAATTAACTTTTCTTTGACCAATCTAGTATATTTTTTTTTATTTAAAGGGTTCTTGGCTTTTGGTCAATATTAAACTTTTTTTGGGTTTAGGAAGTGTTTATTACATAACTAACGTTTCGGTTCAGTTTTAACCTTTTTCAAAGTCTACAATAATGTATTATCAATAAAATACAACTGTTATTACAACAAAAAATATAAATCAAACTTACCACAGAACCTACATTTCTACGGCTAATTGAAACTACTAATTTATTCCACTGATTTCGAGGTTCTCAATGACAGTAGCGGCTCGTGACCCGTGTGACTGGGTAGGCGACAAAATTTTAGTTGCGTCTATTTGCCCCCTCCCCCCCTAATTTACATAAGCCCAGTTTGTAAATATATGTTATCTCTGGGTTAAAAACATAGCTCAAAAATATTTAGGACAAAACTAAGTTAGCAAACTTGTTAGCAAAAATAACAGCATTCAACGTAATGACATAATGATTGACATAATGTAGAAGTATAGTTTTTATTAATCTATTTTATCTATTATTTTTTTTATCTATTACTATGGAGTCACTATGGAATACATCATAGAATTTTATTTTATTTTTACTTATTTACGCAAACTTAAAAATTGGTAGTATTGAGAGAAAGAATAATTATGTTTTATATATTAAATTGATGAGTCGGTCTCTTAATAAAGAAAAGTTGTTTTTTATTATATCAGTAAAATTATCAGATTGTTGAAGAGCTGTGAAAAGATCTTTTTATATTGATAATAAGGCAAGTGGCGATAAACATTTATTTTTCATGGAATCTCTACTATAAATTTTAATGCATTTCAAACATGAAAAATGCCTCTCAACCCAAGTACTTGTAAATGGTGTAGTAACAAACAAAACAAACAATTTGAATGCTTCTGGAAATATATTTCCAGGATCATTCTCCTTAAATTATTTTATGCTCGAAATTATCATATCTATTATTAATACCTGCAATTTATTCATTAATTTATGTTGGTCAATAACATTTTTTTGTTTTTTAAATCACTATTAAATGCGTTGGAAGTTGGAAATGTATCAATATAAAAAGTTTGTTAAATCAGATGTTAAATGCGTTGGAAATTTTTTATAGGATTCTTTAAATTTCGGATCCGCAAGAGATAAATAAAATTAATTGAGACATACGAGTAGGTACCTATCTGCAAATCTTATTTCTAAATGTAATAACAATGTTATCTAATATTTCATAAAATAACATTCGCAAAGATATTTGACTTAGCCGCTTTGATTAACATATCGAATTGAAATAGCACAGAGACTTCTCTGTAACATCTGCTGTATCGTCTTCTTGCACCGAATAAAATAACGCGCTTTTTATTTCGGATTCTTTTATTTCTGTGGCGTGTTCTAAAATACAACTGGTTATATCATTTTTAATCATTTCGAAAAATGTTTCCAATTTGCTTTTTGAATTTTTATATAAAAGTTTTAAATGCTACCTATAATGAATCATATGAAATATCCCCTTAACGAAATGTGATATATCTCCTTATGAAATATCCGGAATATCCCCTTAACATCTAAGCCTGCCGAGCCTCCACGACTTCATGCGAAGGCGACCGGAGATTTCGCCTAAGCCCCGCCTTAATATGATACAACTCCGACTTACGTCGCGTCGCTACCGCACGATGAGTTAGACAGAGACAGAAGATTGCTGTACGTCGTGCATCGACTCTGATAATAGGCGATGTAGAAATCGCCGAACAAAGGCACTCCAACGATCAAAATTATTTTGTTTTCTAACGCAGCGGCACACTCAGCGGTCAGCGTACGCCAGCGGTAGGAATATGAATATGTTAATATACAAGACCACAAATATTAAAATAATATTGATTATTAAAACACACTTCCGTGTATTAACAGTATTTTTATGTATTGGCAACATTAATAGTAAATAATGTTATGTAATAAATCGCTTAAATTCTGCCAAAATCTTAGGGTAGGCCTTCCTTGTCTACCCTGACGAGCCGTCACTGCTGAATGAAGCTTTAGGGGTAAAAGTCTTTTATGTTTATGCCTAGGCATTAAAATGACTTTTATATTGTCATCATGTCGCAAAAATTAGTACTTTTGTGACGTTTGAAAATAAAAATAATATCAGCTGTCACTACCAAAGATTCCAAATTTTTTTTTTCTCTGCTTACTGTGACGTAGTTTTCATTCAGTTCCTCATTATATTTTTAAGTTAAGCCAAAACAGAAATGAATATTTATCAAACCCAGTGAAAAATGAGCGCCAAAAATTACTTATAGATACATTAGCAGTTCTTAAACAGTATTAATTTTAAATCTCCGTTGTTCCTTGCACTGTTCGATTGCAATGGAGGTAACATTTTTTTACTAATAAGTTAAGATATTTTTTACTATCTTTTTGACTGATTGTAGCATTCGTAAGGAAAAACTCTAATAAAGGTAACAAATACTAAGTAACGTAACTTTCGCGCTTGATCCTTTAAATAATAATTTCGCTTTGTTTTTTCCAGTGCCAAAAAATCCGTGTTTATTGTACAATATCGTCCCTTGATTCTATATGTTTAGTAATTGTTACCTGGGCAAAATATTCTTATGAATAAAAATCTCTTTGCTATCTCTTAAAAGCTATTAATACGTTTAAAGTAATATATTTAGGTATATTTATTTCAATTTAGTTTATACAAATATATTTTATGAGAGACTGTGATTTTAATATTAAGAGTTATTACTACATTTTTCTATAGTTTTTTTTAAAAAGCATTCTTAAAACGAGTGGGTCGTTTAAAAGTTTGATTTTATCATGAGTACAATCTGGGCGAATCTGATATTTGATAAAAATATGACTAATATGATTTAAGTTATATAAAATTATTTAGGATGTATTCCGTTGCTTACCTTGGTTATGGTTTTATGTTCCGTATCAATCGGCTTCCTGAAAGTTTTCTTATTTACGGAACACGGTTCCTGAAAAATTCGATTATAACTGTCACCAAACTAACCAGCGCGAAAAGGCTGGTTTTTCTGGTTTTGTTTGTCAATCAATGTCATTTATGTGACAGAAATCAAGCAAATATTGGAAGTTCGAGTGAAATTCTCATTTAATTTCTAAAATTTGTAATAATATTTTGTATTTACATCCTAAAGCAATGGAGGTAGGCAGTAAAGGTAAATAAATTTCATTAACTAAATACACACACCGGAAAAGTCTAGGGATATTACAATTTTATCCAGCCATCGTCAGTAATTTTATTATTTGCATTTCTGATATAATGAAATTAAAATAAACAAATAGTTTACAGGACGTATTGGAAATAAAAATGCGAAATTTACCAAATTTTTCAAATTTACCATGATTTTTATTGAACTAAAATACACACATTTTTTTTATTCTAAACTGTGAATTAAAAAAAAAGAT